GGGGCGGGAGATGCTCGGCGCCGGCCCCGCCCCCGCCTGCCGGGCCTCGCGTTGCCATGGGGACGGCGCGGTTGCCAGGGCGACCGCCTCCCGCGGGCCGCCATCCCTCACCCGCGCGGCCGGCGGGGCGGGGCCTGGGGAGGGGCGCGCGCCCTGCGCCCCTCGGGCTGGGACTCGGGCTGGGACCTCGGGCTGGGACTCGGGCTGGGACCTCGGGCTGGGACTCGGGCTGGGACCTCGGGCTGGGACTCGGGCTGGGACTCGGGCTGTGACCTCGGGCTGGGACTCGGGCTGTGACCTCCGGCTGTGACCTCCGGCTGTGACCTCCGCCTGGGCCGGGGCGCGGATGGGGACGGATGGACAGTCCCCTCGCTGCGCCGCCTGACCCTCCCCGGCCCCGGCCGGGCCCCGCGGGGACACTGCCCGCCTTGTCTCCAGCCCGGTGAGCTGGCCGCACCCCCGACCCTGCATCCGGCCTGCATGGCCACCTGCCCGCCGGCATGGGACCGGGCGTCCGGCTGCTTCCTCTCCTCTGTGTGGCCCTTGTGTGCCGGGGTCTCGGCTGTATATGCCCCCCCGCCTCCCAGCTTTGCCTCCTTCCCGCCTGGGTCCCTGGAGGCCACAGTAGAGCCGGGAAAAGGGAAGACGTGGGGTGAGGCCCGGAGTTGGCAGTTGTGGCTTGGATCCCAGCTCTGCCACTTCCTAGCTGTGTGACTTTGGGCAAGTGACTTGCTGTCTCTGGGCCTCGGTTTCCAGCCGTGGGAAGAACATTCCAGGCAGAGGGAACGGCCAGTGCAAAAGTCATGAGGTAGTGATGAGCTTGGTGCGGTTGAAGGGCAGTGGGAGGGTCCTGGTGGCTGGAACAGAGTGAGTGAGAGGAAGGGCAGAGAAGCGCTGGGGGCTGGGCTGTGCTGGCCTTGGGGTTTCTTTAAAGGGCTGATGGGAACCAGGAGACCTGAGAGCGGGAGAGAGCAGGACTCTTATTCTGAGAAGCTTCCTCTGGCTGTGGGGTGCAGAGGGGGCTGCCTGGGGCCAGGGAGGTGGCAGGTCATGGTAGAATCTTGGGCTGGGGAGTGGGGAGGGATTGTGGGGTTTGCAGGAAGTGAGGTGCTGGGCCTATGTGGGGAGCACAGGGGTGGCACCCTGCCTGCATCACACAGGGCAACAGGGCAGACCCAGAACTCTAGCTGATCTGGCCCTCTGGTGTCTCTGAGCCAGATAGCTGGATCAAGCCTTTCCTGAACTCCACCCAGCTGAGCCCAGCCTCCCGGAGGAAGCAGAGAGGGAAGCCACAGAGGGCGTGGCTGATGCTGCCGGGCCCATGGGAGGTGCAGAGGAGCAGGTGCTGCCAGCAGGAAGGGAAGAGCTGGGTGGGGTTGCCTGACTGGGGCGTGGGAGCCAGATGACCTCACAGGTCTCAGGGAGGCCAGGAAACTTAACCTGCCTGGGGCGGGTGGATGGGGCGCTGCGGCCCAGGACAGACCTGACCTGGAGTAGCCTCCTGGGTGGGGGCAGGGCCCTGGGGTGGACCCAGCGCTGTGTGACCTTGGGTCTCTTTTTCCTTCTGAGCCACCAGGGGAGGGGGACAGGAGGGCTCAGAGCTGGAGTGTCTCCAAGTGTCTGTGCTGATGGGAAACCGAGGCCCAGAGGGCAGAGGACCCACCGGGTGGCTCCGGGCCCTGGTACGAGGCCGGGGGGCACTGGGACCAGCAGGGTCTGTAATTTCAGTCCTTTGGGTGACAAGGGGCTCGGGCGGCCGGGGTGCAGCTGGAGGGTCTGTCTCTCTCGGCTCAGACTCCCCCGTGCCCGCCTCTCGGCGCCTCCCAGGGTGACCCTCGGGGCATGTGGGATTTGGGGCAGAGAGTGGGGACCCCCCCGCCCCCCGTCGTCACAGTGACCTGGAAGCGGGAGGTTACGGTTGGCCCGTCCAGGCCTGGTCCAGGCTGCGCTGGTCGGAGCATTTAACTCACGCCGACTGTGTACAGCTTCCAGGGGTCCTGTGAGAGGGGAGAGGGGGTCGTGTGGGGAGGGGATGTGGGCCCTCATCCTGGGGCCCTGGGCCTCCTGCCCACCCTACAAAGGCCCGACCTCGGCGGCATGGAGCCCTGCTCCTTCGGGAGCATCTGGCAATGCTGACATTGATCCAGCTCCTTCTGCAAACCGGTTCAAGGCTGAGAGTGCGCCGGGTGGGCTGTCAGAAAGCATCGACTGGATGAGAAAGGGAGTCCGGTTGAATCCTGGCTTTACTATGTCCTTGCTGTGTGTCCTTGGGAGGCCCACCGACCTCTCTGGGCCTTTAGGTTCCTGGGAGACTCCAGGGGAGGCCGCTGTGAGCAGCCCCAGAAGTCCCGGGACAGATGGTCAACTTTGCAAGCCCCAGGGTTGGAGGTGGGGCTGGAGGATCCTTCGTCCTCCGTGTATCCCTCCCACTCTGGAGAAGACGTGCTTGGTGGGGCAGAGGGCGGGGGGTGGTCCTGATCTGGCTCCCAGGCTGGGCCAGGAGGTGATGGAGCTCTTCCTGAAAACTCCTCTCCGGGCTTTGATCCCGGGTGAGCTCCTATGCATCCGTCATGGCCCAGCCTCAGTGCCCTCTTCTCCCCATACCCTTCCTGGGTCTCTAGACAGAGCCTCACCCTCCAGCCCCTTGGCCCTGCCCTGAGGGGCGGCAGGAGGGTCTGTTGAGGGGATTAACGAGGTGATAGGGCTGGATGAGGGCACAGTGTGGCCTGGGGGGCAGGGAAGGGAAGATCGGCTGGGTGGCCGCTGCAGGATTCAAACCCGGGGTGGAGTGGACCCCGCTTGACCTTGTCTGTGCCCCCAGGGTCCTGGTGGCAGAGACCACGTCCCAGCAGGAGCGGCTCCAGGCCATTGCTGTGAGTTCCTCCCTGCCCCTCGGGGGTGGGGGGGGGGGGGGGGGACGGGGCCCCCGGGACTCAGAACGGAGGGAGGTCAAGGGTCAGATTGTTTCTGGGAAACCTGAGGGCCCTGGTTCCACCCCACAAACAAAAGTGGAGATTTGTCCTTAGAACGTGGACTCTCGGACCCCCCTGCAGGGGAAACTGAGGCCAGTGTGGACTAGACCCCCGCGCTCGCCGTGTGGTGACCGCGCTCTGTGGTGGAGGCGTGGGGGTCTTGGCGGTCTCTGCCCCAGAAGCCCCACCTTGGAGTCTGTGGACGCTTCCCGGTCACTCTGTCCCCTTAAGGCTCTGGGAACGACCAGGGGTCAGTGGCTGGGTGGGCGCCGGGCCGGGAGAAGCAGGGTCCCGCGGTCCTGACCCCGTCTGTCCGTCTGTCCGTCCCGCAGGAGAAGCGCAGGCGGCAGGCGGAGATGGAGAACCAGCGGCGGCAGCTGGAGGACGCGCGGCGGCAGCTGCAGCATCTGAAGGTACCGGACCCTGGGGGGGGGGCGGTGACCCCGATTCTGACTCTGAGCCCGACCCCGACCTCGACCCTGACCCTGGTCATGACGTGACGCCAACCCCAACTGTGACCCTGATCATGAACCAACCTGAACCCCACCCTGACCATAACCTGACCCTGACCCCAGCCTCACTCCTGACCCTGATCATGAACCAACCCCTCCTGACCCCAGCCTGACCCCGACCCCAACCTGACCCTGACCCCAGCCTGACCCTGACCCCATGCTGACCTGACCCCGGCCCTGCCACCCAGTCCAAGGCGCTGCGGGAGCGCTGGCTGCTGGAGGGCGCACCGTGCTCGGCGTCCGACGGGGACGAGGACCTGCGGAGGCAGATGGAGGCGGACGAGCAGAGGGCGCGGCTGCTGGAGGAGGCCATCGGCAGGTGGGCGCCGGGGGGTCCGGCCGCGCTCGCGTGCTGGGGGGCAGGCAGGTCTCTTCTCCTGCCTCGACGGGGCCTCAGGGGGTGTTGACGCGCGGCCCAGCGGGCTGGACCGGGGACACGGGGGCCGAGACCCTCCTGTGACACCGGCAGGCGGGCAGGTGCCGGGTGGGAGCCGCCAGGCCGGGGGGATGGGAGGTGCCGGCAGCGGCTCCCCCGGGGCCTCCTGGCGCCAGCCCAGCTGGCGGCTCGTTGCGGCCCCGGTGCTGATGGGGGGACGGCCGGGCTGCAGGAAGGGGGGGAGGGCCGGCCGCCGGGGAAAGTGACCCCCCCCCCACCCGGGGCTGGGACAAAAGGCCGGGTTTCCGGGCGGCCGGGGGAAGTGACGGCCTGGATTCCAGATGTCCACTCGGCTGCGGAAAGGCCCGGATCCCGGAGCCCCCGCCACGCTCGTTTGGAAGAAACTGGGGGGGTCCGGCTGGGATTTCCCTCCCGAGTCTCAGTTTCCCCGCCTGTGGACCGGAAGGCGGGAATCCCCTTGTGCGTCTTAATTGCATCAAACGTTAGTGCCGACTGTGTGCCTCCGGGAGCTGGGCCAGGCCTGTGAGGGGGCAGTCGGGACTGACGGGCAGAGGGGCGCGTGCGGGCGGGAAGCACCGGCCGCCGGGGCTGCACAAGGGGCTGCTGTTATCACCCCCCCCCGGGGTGCAGCTCTGGGGAGGGGCCCCCTGTGAGCCCTACTGTGTGTCCTGTGCATGGCAAGTGCCCTCCCGGGGCCCCTCAGGCCACATTTTGGCCACTCGGTGTCCATGCCAGGACTCCTCCTCCAGGAAGCCCTCCAGGCTGCCCCTGGCCGCATCCAGCCAACAGATGTGGGCTCCCTTTGTCAGGGGGCCCTGGACTCACCCCCGTCTGTCCCGAGCCTTGAAGGGGAGTGTCCCCCATGGTGCAGGGTGTCCCCTGACACCCGCAGCCCCGCGCCTCGGGCAGGCGACGGCCGGGCAGGATTTTGGACACGGGTCGTGTCCTCACTGGGTGGCGCGGACCGTTGTCCTCATACTTGGAAAGTGAAACGGTTTTTCCAGTCTCCCGGGAGGGAGGACGCTTCCCGTGAAAACACACGTGTCTGGGTGGAAGCGCGGGGGGTTGGCGGGAGGCGGCCGGGTGGGAACCGGGGGTCACGCGGTGAAGGGACCCCGCACTCCGCAGGCTGGAGAAGGAGATCGAGGCGCTGGAGAACGCGGACACGGCCCCCGCCACCGCCAGGGAGCCCGCGGCGGCCCCCAGCCCGGCCCAGGAGGAGGAGAAGGCGGAGGTGGTGGTGAATTCCCAGCAGGTGAGGGGCGCCCGGGACCCGCCGGCCGCAGAGCGAGAGCCCACCCGGCCCCCCGGCCCCATGGCCGCTGGTCCAAGCCCAGATGTCAGAGCCGGCGCTCGCATCTGAGTCCCAGCCCGCCACCTTCCGGCCTGTGACTGGGAGATGTGGCTTTGCCTCTCTGGGCCTCAGTTTCCCCACCTACGATTGCCCGCCTGCTGGGGATGCCACGCGGGCTCAATGGGCCCATGGACGGCGGGCACTTGACATGGGGCCTGCATGTGGGGAGCTGACCTGAGGCCCAGAGAGGTTGAGGGGCTGGCTCCAGGCTGCACAGCTGAGGAGTGGTCTCTGATGACCAGGATCCCTGGGCCCCGAGCTCCTGGTGGCCGCGGAGTGTTAACGCAGGACCCTCACGGCACCCTCTGTCGTGTCCAGGCCTCGAGGGGCCTGGGGGACACGCCTCGTGTCCCCTGCCCATCCTCGTGCCCCACCCCGAGCTGAGCTGCAGGGGGACACGGCCCCCACGGCGTCCCCCACAGCATCTGAGTCCTTGCCCAGTGGACACGCCTGCCCACCCACCTGGGCCTGGTGTGGGTAGACTGGAGGCTGTGGGTGGAGCCCTGGCCTCGCCGAGCCCCCGTTGGGTGGACATGTGGACGTCTGTGCACAGGGAGGGCGGACGGGGCCACTGGGGGGAGGCCAGGGCCCTGCGGGGTCACCGAGGAGGCCCCTGACTCATGGGAGGGTGGGGCAGGCTGGGAGGGGCTTTGAAGGCTGGCTAGGAGTTCTCCAGACTGGCGGTGAGAGGGGCCATGGGGAAGGTGGACTCAGCTCGGACGACGCGTTTGCGGGGTCCCTGCCTTCTTGGTGCCCACGTCCTAGGGACACAGAGACACTGGCCGGGTCAATAATCTGGTGGCTTGCGGGGCAGTGACGGACGAGGGGGCCCCCTCTGGATGGGGAGGTTGGGGAGCCGAGTGAAGGGGGAATCTGGGAAAAGCCTTCCAGGCGGAGGGGACCTGGCACCCAGAGGCCGGGGACAGGGAGGAGGGAGAGGCGGAGGGAGGGGTCGCCCGGGGCCGAGCGGGGGATCCGTCCGCGAGGAGGTGACTCCTGCAGGGGGGGGGTCTCTGGAGCCGGGCACCCCCCAGGCTCCCGCCCCCTCGGCTGGGCCGCGCTGGGCACCCCTGACCTCTCTGTTCTTTCTTGCAGAGCCCGGTGGGCACGCCCAAAGGTAGGATTCCCGAGGGGACGGGCGGGCCTCGCGCCCCCTGGTGGCCAGAAGCGGGATGACGGGCGGGTTGTGGCCGAGGAGCAACATTGTTGCTGATAAAAGAGGAAAAGGCAACAGTGACCCATCGCTGCTACTTTGTCTCTTTGACCCGGACTCTGAGTCTGGCCCCGTGTCCTCGCCGGTCACGTGATTTTCACAACGTCCCTGTTACAGATGGGGAAACTGAGGCTCCGGAGGGGCGTCTGGCTGAGGTCTTGGCTGTGTCCCGAGGCTCCGGGTCTGTCCCCGTCCTCGTGGGGGCAACCAGGCTCGGCTGCCTCTGTCCCACGCCCCCCTGGGCCTCGGTTTTCACGTCTGGGAAGTGGGGTCTGCGGGGATGAGAAATCCAGACCCTGGCCGCCCTGGGGGTTAGGTGCCATCTGAAAGGATATGGGGACGGGGGGCCAGCCCGGTGGTGCAGCGGTTAGGTTCACATGTCCTGCTTCGGCGGCCCGGGGTTCTCGGGTTCGGATCCCGGGTGTGGACATGGCACCGCTCATCAAGTCATGCTGTGGTAGGTGTCCCACATAGAAAGTAGAGGAAGATGGGCATGGATGTGAGCTCAGGGCCAGTCTTCCTCAGCAAAAAAAAAAAAAAAAGAGGAGGATTGGCAGTAGATGTTACCTCAGGGCTAATCTTCCTCAAAAAAAAAAAAAAAGGGGACATGGGTCCCAGCACGCTGGTAAGAAAGCTGCCATCCAGGAAACGGGAAAAAGCCGGAAGTCTGACCCATTTTATGCCCCCAAATTATGACAGATCAATAACGTACATGTTGGCAGATATTTCACACGTACATATGACATTTTTAAATACACGCTTAGCTGTGAATCTAATAGTTTACGGAATCTGTTATTCAGTATATTACATTTAATATAAATCATATTTTAGAAGTGCAGATTCACCCCGTCTGTGTCTGCATCGCAGGCCGGCGGCAGGAGCGTCTGTGGCCTGATTTGCGTGTGTTAATTATTTATGGGGAGAGCGTCTCCTCGTCTTACCGCGGGATTGAAAATTAATAATTAAAAGAAATCCTCGCAGGGATTTTGTGAAAAGCACTCGGCCGCGATGGGAGGCGGACCGCGGGGCTGGCGTGTGTCCCCTGTGGGCGCGAGGGTGGTGCCGCGTGCGTGGGGGGCTCCGGGGCGTCCGTGTGGGGTGTCGTGGTCTGTGTGGTTGTCGCCCCTCTGACCCCGTCTCTCTCTCTCCCGCCGCAGAGAAGCGCGTCTCCACGCCCGCGAGGACGGCCGCAGGCGCCACCATGATGAAAGCAGGTGGGTCACCCCGTCCGCCGCGGGTCCGGGGCCGAGGGTCGCCGGTGCCGTCCGCGGGGGCTGTGGTCGCACGGCTGCACCGAGGCGGTGCTCCGAGCCTGGGGTGGGGCCTGGCCGCCTTCTGCTTTGGCTCATCGGCACACGCGGCCCGGCTTCCCCCGAGAAGACGGGCCCCCCGCATGGCGGCTCTAACCCGACGCCCCTCGCGGCTTCTCTGCCCTAACCTCGCCGCTGCTCCCGGCCCGTGGGGTGCTGCACACGCCCGCACGCACCCGCTGCACGTCCTCCTCCTCTGTCCTCAGGCCGCCTCAGGAGAGGGAGTGAGCGCCCCGTCCCTGGAGGTGACCAAGCTGGGGTCTGGGGCATTTTGGGAGCCAGAGTTAGTGCTAGGTGTTCTCCAAGGTCAGGGGTCAAATTCCCACTGTGCCCCTCGACACTTGGCGCTGGGGTCCCCCTGCCGGAAGGGCGGGACTGGAGTGACCTCGTGGCACCAGGCTGAGCGGAGAGTGATGACAAGTCATAGCAGACGGCAAAACCTCGTTGCTGCTGCTCTTGCTGTAATTGAGCAGGGAGGCGGAGGCCGTCCTGGGGGCGAGGTGGCCGGGATGTGATGACACCCGGCCGCCCAGGGGGCAGGAGGCAGAGGGTCGCATTTCCCAGAGACGAGGTGCCTTCAGGCCTTTGCGCCAGATGGACCAGGCCCAGCAGCACCGGGGCCAGACGCCCCTACTGTTCCCTCACTCCGTGACCTCTTGTGCAGTGCACGACCCGCCCAACTGTGTCTGGAGGTGGGAGTGTCAGGCTGTGTAGGAACATCGGATTGAATAAGAGTCACTCATTCATTCAAGCGCTCGTGGGGCCCGGTGTGAGGCACACGGGGAGGCCGGAGTCCCCATGGGGCGACAGCCTGTGCAGTTAACTCAGGGAGAAAGCGAGGCAGAGAATGGGGAGCCAGAGGGGGGCAGTTTTAATGGGAGGTTTCAGGGGAGGCTGAACTAGGGGGTGACGCTGAGCAACGACCCGCAGGAGGAGACGGCGCGGGGCCTGCGGACGGCGGGGTGGGGGAGGGTGTTCCGGGCGGAGGGCGCAGTGAGGCCGGCGGGCCTGGTGGAGGGACTGCGGGGCGGCCCGTGCGGCTGCAGCGGAGGAGTGAGGGGGCGACGGAGGCGGCGCGGCGGGCGGGGGGCGCGGGCTCCCGAGGGAGGGACGTG